TCATTTCGTGCGAAAAGGGTTGCAAAATGGGACAAAGTAAAATTCGTTAATTTTACATCAGTGTTTGGCGTCCAACCGCCATTTCGTGCGAAAGGGTTGCGTTCGTGGAGCTCCGGCGGCGGCACCGCCCCGCCTTCTCTTTACAGAGCAGAATTAGAAGAAGAGCGAGAGGAGAGATGCAAGGGTTGTTCCGGGGACACCCGGTGCGGAGGGTGTGAAGATGTAGATCTGCAGATGTGAGGGTGTGAAGATCTAGATCTGCAGGTGTGAAGGTGTGAAGATCTAGATCGGCAGATGTGAGGGTGTGAAGATCTAGATCTGCAGATGTGAGGGTGTGAAGATCTAGATCTGCAGATGTGAAGGTGTGAAGATCTAGATCTGCAGGTGTGAGGGTGTGAAGATCTAGATCAGCAGGTGTGAGGGTGTGAAGATCTAGATCAGCAGATGTGAAGGAGTGAAGATCTAGATCAGCAGATGTGAAGGAGTGAAGATCTAGATCTGCAGGTGTGAGGGTATGAAGATCTAGATCAGCAGATGTGAAGGAGTGAAGATCTAGATCCGCAGATGTGAAGGAGTGAAGATCTAGATCAGCAGATGTGAAGGAGTGAAGATCTAGATCCGCAGATGTGAAGGAGTGAAGATCTAGATCAGCAGATGTGAAGGAGTGAAGATCTAGATCCGCAGATGTGAAGGAGTGAAGATCTAGATCCGCAGATGTGAAGGAGTGAAGATCTAGATCCGCAGATGTGAAGGAGTGAAGATCTAGATCAGCAGATGTGAAGGAGTGAAGATCTAGATCAGCAGATGTGAAGGAGTGAAGATCTAGATCAGCAGATGTGAAGGAGTGAAGATCTAGTATAACGGCTGCTTTTTTACGAAGAACCCTTCGCAGGCGCTCTCGGGAAAAACAAAACATGATCATGCACTGCTCCCCCCCAAAAAAAGGCAAACAACTTGCAACAACCCAGAAACCTGCTGCATCTGCATAGCCATGACCTACCAGTTCCAACTTAGAACATTGGCAGACACAATTTGCGACACTGCATGCTGCACCAACACACAAATATTTAGATATCCAACACTCAATCCCCAGCCTAAAGCACACCGCAAAGAAACACTGTTTTGCGCGGTCCTTCCACTGTACACGGAGAGGCAAAGCCTGCATAGCACGGTTTACCGGCCAAACAAGAACATAAACATGCAGGAAACAAGGTTCAAATCTACCCCGGAATCCTGAAAAACAAACTGCAAATTACTGTTGTCTTTAGAACACCAACACCTCTAACCCCTAGCTGAGGCCAACACTGATGCAAATGGAAAAAACACAGCCAAAACTACTGCCTACCAACTACCCAGCTTGAGAAATCACACTGCACATTGCACAGCCGATCCTGAAAGGCATACTCATGAAGCTCTGTGAAAAAACACATAGTTTCAAAAAGAAAAAAGGTTGCACATCACCATACTGCTGTACTCGATTCCTTAGCTATTCGTGCCAAAGGAATGACTGATCAGCTTGGAGGTTGATGCTTCATAGCGATATGGAAAAATAGAAATGCATTGATTTACTCAATTTGCTTGGCTAGAAAAAAATAACGCCATGACAAAGGTTCCGAGCATCCCTGATTCCAAAACAATGCAATGCTTCTCCTGCCGCACAAGCAACAAATCTTTTTTCCAGCTTTGGCTCTCCGCAGTCAAAATTCGTGTGATTGAACTTTATCAAGAAAATCCCTCAGGATCACCTCAATGCCCAATCCGCGCGCAACATCACAAGCATTGCACAACAGAACAGTCATCTACATTCCATGCGCAACATATCGAAAAAATGAAAAAAGAAAAATAACACAAATAAACACACTAAACACATGGAAAAATGCAGTAAAAATACAAAAGACATAAATTTGTATAACCAATTTAACCAATCATTGTTTCAAGGAATAAAAATATTGTCTTTTCGGAAACAAGGTAATATATAAAAATGAAACATGAAAACATTGAAGCAAATGAAAAGACGAAATATCCTTCAAAATCCAATGCATATTCGTAGTGTCTAGTTTTTAGATTGTTTTCAAATTGGTGGAAGAAATGTTCTTTGAGTGGCAATCCAAATGCTCAAAAGTGGCGCCTGGGCGGGCCTTTTTAAAGATTCATAAAACATATCTTTGGTTGGCAGGCGGCAAGGCTTCTGTCTGAAAAACAATGTCACCATTATTTTAAACACCATGCATGCAAAAACGAAAGACCAGGAAAAATAAGCATGAACATGGTTAAACAAGATTTTCGAACAAAAGCGAACAGACTGGCAGAATGAAAGAATGTATATAGGTTATTTCCATTTTCATGCCCCATGCCCAGCACCAACAGCTGCTGCTATGGAGCAAGTCCAATGAGCTGTTGTAAGATGTTATAAGTATTTGTTTTGGATGATTCTTTAGGTGCCTTGCAAATATCCTAGACCTTATTTCCGTGTAATTCCCTTATTTCCTTGAATTATGCAAGTTGACACAATCCATCATCAGTCCCCAATCAATTTTTCACCTCCTATCTCCCCACGGCCTTGCATGCGGAGAGGTGCAAATATCTTCGGGTTCCGCCCACAGCCAGCAACCACCTACGGTATGGTGCTCGTCAACAATTGCGGCCTTCATGGGTGACTGATCATGGACAATCAACATCTGATAGTTGCATAGATGCCTAGCTACTGCTTACTGGAACATATTGGAATATTCTGTTCTTTCATTTGCTAGATATCCAAACTGAGCCATGCAGATATCAACCGACAGAAGCAGGAATATCAATCCGCCAGCCCCCAAAAAACGGTAACATTTGGACCATAGGCTGTAGACTATAGACTGCAGTCTACACACTTGGACTAAACTAATTGTAATTAGTGGGCCGTCATTTTATGGGACGAGAAGCAAAAACCATTTGGCCGTCCCTGCGCAACGAAGCCATCTGTTGAGCGCCGGGACTGGTGGCTTTGGTGCCAAAACAACCTCCACAAACAAGTCACTTGCCAACTGGCGATCACCTCTTGGACGGGCCCCACAGCGGCAAACAATGAACAGTGGTGGACCAATTTCGGCTGTCTCCAGTCGCTGTTGAAGATGCTGAGAAATTTCGCATTCAGTTTTAGCCGTTTGCGTGACACATCAGGTGACTCACCCAGGCCCTCATCTGTGGACGGTCTGTATACAAGCTCCCAAGAATCGCAGTCAAATGGAGGAAATCTGCCCAACTAGAACAACATACCCTCTGGTAATTTAACATAGCTATTGAACGTCACCGATTTTCAATCAGTAAGTCACCTATTGTCTGGCAATTTTTCATCCATTTTCCACAACTATGTTAAATTACCAGAGGGTATCTCCAAGAAACAGTCGCTTGAGTGTTTGGAAGGCCGCCAAATTATGTACGTGCCCTCTCTGGAACTGGTGGGGATTTGAATTTCAGCCTCTGTTAGAAAAATATCCTACAATTCCCTACTCGGGCCGGCTGTGTTTTGATAGAGGGATGGAAACTTTACAGTAGAAGAATACAATGACTGAAAAACCGTGCGTGTACATAAACAACATATCTATCTATATCTATTCTATGTGTATATATATATATGTAACAGCATTTCTACTGTGCTAGAAAACCAGTTCAGTCAACAGTGGCTTCACACTACCATGCAGACCATGCACGTAATCCACCCAACACCCCATTTCCAAGGACGGAAACTGTGCAGATTTGTAGAGATTAAGTGCCCGCTTGTGGCTATCATTTACCATGGGTTGGAGCAACAAGAGGTGCCTGGGTAAATTGTGAAAAATGAGGTAAATAGCCACAAGTAGCCCTATAATCCATCATCCCAAATTCGGGTTTATTGGGTCCGCCCTTTTTTCGGGTAATTTGAAATAACCCACAAATGGGTTGTTAATGGGATGGGTGACACATGTTCATTTTCACTTTCGACTATAGATGGTTAATTCCCCTTATTGAATCCCATGAAATTGCCCATTCCATCCATGTCTTGTTGTCAATGGGGGGTTGTTGACTTATTAACCAACATTGTCCCATTAACTGTCCCATTAAACCCCTGATTTGCAAGTCACAAGAATCTTTAAAGATAAAAATCACATTAATACAATGCTTAGTGGGATGGTTCAGTATTGGATTTCCAAAAACATCTGCGGTTATGCAGTTCCGAGGTGCCAATCTGCCATGGTTTTGCCCCACTCTTCGCCTGTCAAGATGTGCACATCTGAGGGTGTCGTTGAGACTGGTGTGGAATTTTAGACGTGGTGCAGGCAAAGGATGATAAACGATGATGCTTTTACCACCCAGCGTGGGGTACGTAATGAGCGCGGGGATTTAAACAACGTTCCTGTAGGTTGTTCGCGTTCTCACAAGGAAGCCTCTTTCTTCAGAAGTTCCTGGCGCAACTATGGCCGCCATCTTTTTAGCTCTTGAAAGTATGATTGCAAGCTTCATGACCAAAATTATTTTCAGAGGTGAGTTTCGGGTAACATGGGGCACCGTCTGTCACCAAGATGCTTTTGGGAGCATGCGTGTGGGTCTGAGCACACATCTCAAAGCACCAGTGGCACGAACACGCGGCGCGCTCTCTTGGCACGAACGTTGTTACCCTACCCCACCCAATTCCGAGGCCATGACGTAGCCGCAGCGTAGCATCACGTGTGCACGCAAGGCACATGAACGTTATTACCCCACACCACCAAACCCGAGGCCATGACGTAGCCGCAGCGTAGCATCACGTGTGCACGCAAGGCACATGAACGTTATTACCCCACACCACCGAAACCCGAGGCCATGACGTAGCCGCAGCGTAGCATCACGTGTGCACGCAAGGCACATGAACGTTATTACCCCACCCCACCCCGCCCAAACCTAACCCCATATTGAAAAAGTAGCACGACTACACGTGCAGTTTTCCAATTCCAAATGACATGATCTAGCTGCTCTCAATTGCCGTGAATGATGAGCGTCCGGACCCCATCTCTCCTTCGACCACAGCTTAGCCTTCTTGAGCGCATTCTCCTTGGTCACCCTCCTCCACCCGCTGCTGTTGCTGGGGTCCAGGGTGCAATCGAATAGCGACAGCTCACCCTCCTTCTCCGGAACCGCTCGTTCTTGTAGAAAGCTTTCACCTCGTCGATTGTTGTTGCCTGCTCCTTGACCTGCTTCCTCAGAAGAAAGTTGTCCTTCTGATTCTCCTGCAGATCCTTTCTATGTTTTTCCTCAGCGCGATTTCCTGGTCCTTCAGCTCCCCTTGTACATCTTTCTTCTTCTGAGCGTCTTCCTCCAGGTAATCCCTGAGTCTTTTTTCGTCCACCACACACCTGTAGCTTCGCATTTCTTTCAAATTTTGACGCCAACACCTGTTTTTGCCGGAGTTCTTTTGGTCAAAGGCCGGGGCTGTTGCTGTGATTAATTTTTGGTAATCAGCAGCAGTGAAGGTGCTAAGGGTGGGCCTCTGCTGCTGCATGGGCTGCTGCCCCATCACATCATTGGCTCCTGCTGCTGCATGGGCTGCTGCATCTGCGCCATGCTTGGTCTTGCTACGCTTGACTTCGGAGTGGTGCCCTGGGGTGCCGCCAGCGTGGTGCGTTTTTGGGCTCTGGTGGGCGCTTATCCATCCATTGCTGTGCTGCTCAACCCACTGAATCGTCAGTGGTCAATCAAGAAACCGCGTGATTTCAGTTTTGAGAATGATTATATGTAATCGATTAGTCATCCTAGTTCGAGGGTGTTCGTCATTCGTTGACGAGTGTTGGACTGAGCTAATATGGAGACTTGAGACATCGTTCCTGGTTCTGTGATTTTGACACTGCGATGGGTGAATGTTCTGTGCTACATGCGCTTACTTGACTGAAGCGAGCGACAAATGCAACAAACGCAAGCAATGCGTTCGCAACGGCGCTCACTGGCAAGACGTGGCCGCTACAGAACTCCATGACTTTGTTGGCCCTTTACACCCTACACACTGCCACTTACTGGTGCTGGCCTTACAGTACCCAATGACTTGTTAACGCACAAAAACACAAAATGACATCAACATGTAGGGCTCTTACAGCCCAATACACCAAAGAAACGACGTGACATCAACATGTTCCCGCAGCACGAAATTTGTTAGTCAACTATTCAGAAACTGCCTCCGGCAACGCAGCAATATTAATGAGTGCTGCCAAAGTCTCAAGTGAGCTGTGCCATGCAGCAAATCTGGAAGGAGCCTTATGCAGCAGCAGCAGCAGCAGCACCAGCTGCAGCCACTACTGGGGCTGAACAGGGGAGATACTGCAAGTAGCGGGAACTACCTGGGGATAAATAGTGGGATAAAATATGATCATTTTGCTAAAAAACACATGAAACAAAGTCAAGTTGCTCGCCATTGGCTCAAAATTCATCAAGCAGTATTTTTCCATTATCACCTTATCAACTTCCTTATACAGAGCTAGTAGCCAAGAGAAGAACCAAGCGATTTAATCAACACGCCGCGCGCTGCTGTGCAATACACGCGTAAACGGTTGCGCGGACAACCTACCGGAAGGAACACCAAAATGAGGTACTGAGGATGATGTCAACGCAAACGTTGATTCCACCAACAAACAAGAGGATTTCAATGAAATAGACATAGTGGCTAAACCAGAACAGATTGGGACACAATTAATGAATAAGAATTGCAATTTCACCAGCATTATATAATCTAACTAGCATACGAAATGAATGGACGGAATTTATCAGATTTTCGAGCCTTTGTTGGTACGTAATTGTGGATGATGTTGGAAGTCAGTCCCCAATTTCGGTGATTTGGTTCCCTGTGTAAAGCATGCATCGTTAGCACCATCCTTGTTTCCATTGGTTCATCACACATACGTTGTTCCCTTTTTCCAAATGTTCATAAGCCGATTTCTATGTGGCGATGCGGCAAGCTGAAAAAAACTAATTATAGCCA